TAATAAAAAAGCTTTAACTCCACCCCTGACATGCACACACAGGCTTGAGTCAAGGCACAAGAAAACTGAAAATTGTTTTGGAAATCTTATTCCACTGCCCCATGGTGCTACAACCAATCAGCGAGGGTTTCGTTGACTGACCAATGAGCAGAGAGCATGCTACACACTGCAGTCAGCAGTCACTTTCAACATGGAGGAAAACATTGTTTTAGCTGCATCTATGACACTTCAAAAAGTGTCATACAAAATAGGAAAAGTCAAAAACAAAATTGGAAAGTCACTTTCAAAATGTCAAAATCCCTTCAATTTCATGAACAATCAAATGCTACATATTGTGTGGTGGCAGTAATGCACACCATTCAGTTGTTCTCCATATGACAATAAAATCTACAAAAAAGAACCAATCAAATTTCTTGGAGACAAGCAACCCAAGAGTGCAATTCACAGAACTGCAGTCCCTATTGCATCTCATGTTTTGAGAAGTTATAATGGTTTTTAAAAACACCTTAAAGTAAGAGCTTTCTATCTACCACCCCACATCTTGTCAAGACTTTCTTTTTCAAACACAAATGGCTGAACCAAAAGCTTCAATTTTTAGCTTCTCTTCAAACACTGTAGAAACTTGATTGTTACTATTAAATCAAAAAGATCTTTTTTTGATTATTTCAGGTTTTGTTTTATGTTGTAACAAGCTGTTAAACAAGCTAGAGGCTTACAGACTATTGATGAACCAATTTCAAATTAGGAGCAAGTCCACCTCTCCAGATATAAAATTCAGTTTAATCAAGAGGAAAATGAGTCATTTGGAATTCCTTAATATTTTTCTTTTTATTGAAAGAGTGAGTGAGGTGCTTGTAAATCACACTTTAAAGGGACAAGGTGACTTTTTATTGAGGCCTGAGGGTCTCTGCATGGCAGAACTGTTAAACACCTCTTCAAATTAAAGCAGGGAACTTCAAACAGTGTGTACGTGTGTACGTTTGAGGGAGTAAATCTCAAAGCTTTTTTTAAAAGTCTGAATGAACTTGACTAATTTTAATTAATAATGTGTGTGAGAGAGAGAGAGGTTGTGCTGAAGACCTCCTGAATGGGTCAGGGTGCCATTTTGAGTCACTACAATTTATTCCTGTTCTAATTTCAAGAAAATTGCTGAAGTTAAGGAGAAAAAGAAATAACTAATAGAATTTAAACAATTTACAGACAAAAATGAGCTAACTCCAGCTTTTTAAACCTATTATTTAAACACATCAGGATAAGGTTTCGCACCAGACTAACCAGGAATTTATTCAATATCAAAATAATAATAATAATAATAATAATAATAATAATAATAATAATAAT